GTGATCACTGGATGGAGGGTGTGCATTGATTTTCGAAAGCTAAACGCTTGCACACGAAAAGACTATTTCCCATTGCCATTCCTCGATCAAGTTCTAGAATAAGTAGCGGGGCATCTATTCTACTGCTTTTTAGATGGATACTCTGACTACAATCAAATTGAGATTGCTTTGGAGGATTAAGAGAAGACCACCTTCACGTGCCCCTATGGTACTTTTGCCTATCACCGTATGCCATTTGGACTATGCAATGCTCCAGGACGTTTCAACACTGTATGATGGGGATTTTCAGTGACATGGTGGAAAAGATAGTGGAGGTCTTCATAGACAACTTTTTGGTATTTGGGGATTCATTCGAGGGATGTTTGGCAAACTTAGAGAGAGTTCTAACAAGATATGAGGAGAAAAATCTAGTCTTGAATTAGGAAAAGTGTCACTTTATGGTGACGGAAAGAATTATGCTTGGCCACATAGTTTCGATGAGGGGTATTGAAGTCAACAAATCCAAGGTGGAGACAATCTCCAACCTCCCCACGCCAAGAACCATCAAAGGCATCCGGTCATTGCCGATTCATTAAGAATTTCAGTGCATTGGCCCGACCTTGACCAATCGGCTGTCCAAGGAGGTCCAATTTGAGTGGTCGGATGATTGTGAGCCATCCTTTAAAAAACTTAAGAGCATGCTAGTCACACCTCCGATCATGCGACCACCCAATTGGGACTTACCTTTTGAGCTCATGTGCAACGCGAGTGATTACCCGATCGGTGTAGTGCTTGGTCAATGGGAGGGAAATAGATCGTATGTGATACACTATGCTAGCAAAATACTGAATGAGGCTCAGATGAATTACACTACCACCGAGAAAGAATTGCTAGCTGTAGTGTTTGCTTTAGATAAATTTTGTTTGTATATCATTGGTTCACCTATTGTTGTCTTTACTGACCATTCTACCTTGAAGTACTTGTTGTCTAAGCAGGATACGAAACCAAGACTCATTAGGTGGATACTCCTCCTATAAGAATTTGACTTGACGATCAAGGACAAGAAAGGAGTTGAGAACGTGGTGGCGGATCACTTATCCCGACTGGTGGTGCAAGAGGCTGATGAGCATATCCCTATCCCTGACTTTTTCCCTAACGAATACTTGCTTTCAATTCATTCTGTGTGTCTTTGGTATGCTAATATATGTAATTACCGTGCAATAGGATAGATTCCACCCCAATGGAGCCTAGAAGATCGAAGACAATTTATGACAGATGCGAAGTACTTCTACTTCGACAACCTGTATTTTTTCAAGTACTGTCTCGATCAAATCATGAGGAGATGCGTACCTAAAAATGAACAGCGGGACGTCCTTGCATTTTGCCATTCACAAGCTTGCGGTAGACATTTTTCAGCTAAAAAGACTTCAGCTAAAATTCTCCAATTAGGTTTTTACTGGCCCTCTCTCATTAAAGACTGTGTTTCATTTTGTAAGGCATGTGACAGATGCCAACGATTGGGTAGTGTGACCCAGAGACACATGATGCCCCTCTCTCTTGTGCTTGTCATAGAAATATTTGACTGTTGGGGCATCGATTTCATAGGTCCATTCCCTATGTCATATGGTTATCTGTACATCGTCCTGGCAGTGGACTATGTGTCCAAATGGGTGGAGGCCATCCCAACCAAGACTAATGACCACCGGGTCGTAGTCAAATTCCTTAAGCAGAATATCTTTTCGAGGTTTGGGATGCCTCGTGCAATCATAAGTGATGGTGGATCACACTTTTGTAATAGACCATTCGCTTTTATTAATGTGCAAATATGGCGTCACTCACAAAGTATCCACTGTCTATCACCCACAAACAAATGGCCAAGCCAAGCTAGCCAACGGGCAGGTAAAGGGTATTCTAGAAAAAACGGTTAACCCCAATAGGAAGGATTGGTCTGATAGATTGATCGATGCCCTATGGGTGTACCGTACTGTCTATAAGACTATTTTGGGCATGTCTCCCTATGGGTTTGTCTATGGAAAGGCTTGCCACCTACCAGTCGAAATGGAACAAAAGGCATATTGGGCCATTAAAACTTTAAATTTCAACTTGAGAATGGCCGGTGAACATAGGAAGTTGGAAATGAATGAGTTGGAAGAGATTCGACGAGATGCGTATGAGAGCTCCAAAATCTCAAAGGAATGGGTTAAGATCTTTCACGATAATTCCATTATAGAAAAATCATTTTTACCCGGTCAAAAAGTGTTCTTGTACAATTCTCGCCTCTCAATTTTCTAGGGAAAACTCCGATCCTGTTGGGATGGCTCCTATTTTGTTGAGGTGGCCTACCCCAATGGAGCTGTTAATGTGAAAAACCCGAGAATGGCCAGACATTCAAGGTTAATGGCCAAAGACTCAAGCCATTCTTCGAGGGTTTTGAAGGGAAAGAAGTGGGAGAAGATTTGACGGATCCCGTATATCCGGATTTGATGGAGGACTAGCTAGTGTTTATGATTTATAGTGTACAGTTACTTTGATTTACTTATGTTATTTCTATTTCATGTCACTTACTTTCGTTGGTTGAATAACATTGTTTTCTTAGTTTCAGATCTTGGTGCTTTTGTTGAAGCTCAATCGCAAGGTGTTCTCTAACCTTATTCATCTTTTTACTATCCTTCATTGCATATTATATCTTTTTTGTTGCATTGAGGACAATACATGATTCAAGTTGGGGGGTGAGGTGCACCATTTGCATAATACACCAAGGTTGTTAGGAATTGGTGTGAAATTTTTGTGTGAAATTTTGTGATATAGATTTTTGCTTGCATTAGTGAAAAATATGTGAAATTTTTCAAATTTTTGACGAAAAATATCTGATTGTTGATCTGTATTCCTTCATGAATAATGTGTGAGTTGGATGACATGTTGATCTTTGTTGTGAACTTTGTGCACACGAGCATTCTATGGAAGTTGATCCTATGCATGAGTATCACATATGAATTGATTTTTGAACTTAACTGTATGTGACTCTTGAATGTGTAATTTCGACAATTTATGGATTGGATTCATGTTTTAAGCTTGACATAAGTAGTGGAGATGAGTAAAGACCCATGGGAGCTTTAGTGCCAAAGAGGGAACTTACAATGACTCAAAGAACAATTTTTCAATGTCAAATTTGTTTAATAGTCTCATTGTGCTTGTTTTGCTTAGGTGCATTTGGGATAGTAGGTTGACTTTTCTTAATTGTATAATGCCATTCCATGCGGACCTAGAAGTGATCTTAGGCCATCCTTGAATATTTTGAGCCTTTGCCCTTTTTCTTGAGAAGTTATTTATCCCTAGTGCCATGTTTGAGCCTTGTTGAAAATTTGCTTCTATGCCACACATTAAACCAAGCCACTGAAAAATGAAAAATATCTACCTTACCTTGGTTGTTCCTAATGCAAAAATGAGTGATTGCAAAAGAAGGAAGTGTGGTGTGGAAATTCAAGCAAGGGATGATGAACGTGAAACTCAAAGAGTTGAAAAAAAAAAAAGAGAATGAAAATTCAAGAAAAGGAAGAAAAGGGGTGAGAAGATGAAAGAATGATCAAAAGAAAAAGAAAATGTTAAGGAAAAGAAAGAAAAGAAACAAAGGGTGTAGTGATGGTGTGGGAATCAAAATCCCATGAAAAGGGAAGTGTTCTTATAAAATAAAAGTCTCTCACTCGGAACAACCCTCTTTGCTATCCTATATCCTTCATTTCATAAATATCACCCCAAGGCCCCATTACAACCCTTAAAGTCCAAAGTGAACTAGAGAAGCATGAGAGGTGCATGATTTCAGAGGAAACGATGAGTTAAGTCTTACTGCCTAATGCCCTAGCATTTTGTTCATGAGACTATGCCAAGGTCGCTTCATTTTCATTTATGAACTTCATTTTTGGATTACATGTAAGCACACTTTGTTTTGTACACAAGATTCTATCTCACATGTACACATGGAGTGCATACCAAGATAACTTGAGTGTATTTCATTGTTTTGGAGTGACCCTTGGTGAGTTTTGCATTGAAACTGAATTTGTCTAGCTATTTGAATGTGAATTCTGTTGCGTAAATGCTCAAATTACTTGTTTAATTCACACATACACGAGTTAAAAATAAATTTGTAGGTGCATACTTTAGACTAGTGTCTAAGACTATAGTGTTTCTCATGTACACTTAGTTCAATCATTTGAGAAATTTGTTAAAAATCTCCATGCTTGTAAGAATGATGGAATATTGCTCAAGTTTTTGATATTTAATATGAATTAGGAATGCCGATGTTTTTAATCATGTGATTTGCATTTTCAGTGTTCATTTTGGTAGTTTAAAGTAGAAATGCATGCCCTGTACGTTGAAAACATCAAAATCTTAAATTATGTTAGAATTTTAGAAATAACTTTGGGCATGATTTGCCAATTGTGGTTCATAAGTGTGCTTCAAGTCCTTGGTAGGATAGGCATCTTAGAAAGGGTGTAAGATGTGTTGGAATTGAGTAAGGATGGTGTGAATTTTTGAATAAAGGATTGGTTTTGCAGCAAAGGCAAAACCTTCCAGAAGGTTTTGATCGACCTTCTGGAAGGTTTTACCTATTGATTTTTTTTTAAAACAAAGGTAGTAAGCAAAACCTTCCGGAAGGTTTTACCTACTGAATGTTTTTAAACAAAGGCAGCAAGCAAAACCTTCCAGAAGATTTTGATCGATCTTTCGGAAGGTTTTGCCAAGAAAATTAAAAACGAGGGTTTTAAAGTTGAAAAGTTTGGAAAACTTTTCACATTTCCAATCCATCTCTTGCCCTCAAACCCTCGCCTCCCCTTCTACTCTCTTCTAACCTTCAAATTGCTTCCCCCAATTCTCAAAATTCTTAATTTCTCTTGATTTAGGTTTACTTTTAGGGTGTTTTATCCGAAAAAACCAAGTGTTTTTCAAGCAAACCCTAGAATTCCATTTCCCCTAAAATTCTGAATTTCTCTTTAATCTTCTCCAATCTCTTCCACTTCTTGGTGATGGCTCGCACAAGAGTGATGTCTATGGAGGTAGTTGATGCCATTGAGAGTGTGTGGAGGTTGTTTTTGGTGGCTCTTGGGTTAGGGGCACTGTTGATGCTAATGGCCCGGACCAAGAACACTGGCCCCAGTGCTTCTTCACCCCCTCTGCCTCCACATCCAAGAAGAGGACCGGTGAGGGTCCTAGCTCCCAAGATAAGGCGGAGCGGAGGACGAAGGCAAGACATGACGCCCATAAGCAATGTATCGAGGAAAAGGGCGTGACGTGTGAACGTTATGTGGATAGAGTTTCGTTGGGGCCTAGGAACGAGGTGGTGAAAATTATTAAACAATCGGGGTTGAATTTATGGTTTGAGGAGGTCAAGGGGTACAATTTAGGGATGGATCGTGAGTTTTATTAGAAGTTGGTTGTTTTTGGTGACAATGGGAGTAAGCTAAAGACGGTTGTGAGGGGCAAAGCAATTGAGGTGACCCCGAACTCAATAGCCACAACGATGGGGTACGTGAGACCTCCCCGACCACTGAGGTCTACCCACACAATGTGGAAAAGGGTATGACTCTCAAGGACTATGTGGCCCTCACCTATGAGGACCCGACCACGTTCACAGGAACAACGTTGGTCGGGGGCCTCAAGCATGCATACGGGGTCATGAATAAAGTCCTCCATTATAATATGATGCCTCAGGGTTTGGAGAAGAACCCGAACATTGAGAAGCTCGCATTACTGCTTGCCTTTATGATGAGAGTTGCCATTGACGTGGCATATTACATTTGGTTGGAGATGAGAGAGTTTGCCCAGGCTGCAAAGCCAAAGGCAAATATTTCTTTTGGCAATTTAGTCACCCGTCTCTGTGATTAGGCTAAGGTAAAACACTATGCCCAAGATGTTTTCCGTGCCCCAGACACTAGAGCAATTGGGAAGTCTAGCAGCAGCAAGAGAGCTGCTAGGACTAGGAGAGAGAGAGATAGGACCCCGAGGTCACAGCCGTCAGATGCTGGCGCATCTTCTTTAGCACCCCCACCACCTGCACCTACTCTGGCTCACACCATGTAGCAGCGCATGGATGCTATAGAGTCAACTGTGTATAGGATGTCTGAGATGTTGATACAGCTATTCTAGCATACCTTCCTGGGAAGGCCTATTCTCGGAGGACCACCACCACAGCCTTTAGCTGGTCCCTCCGCTTCCGTTCCCGTGCCTTCTATGATTGTGAAGGTGGGAGATGTTGATGATGACGAGGAAGAGTTAGAGTCCGAGTCCGAGTCCGAGGACGAGGATGTTTTCGATAGGGATGATGATGATTAGGGGGATTTTTTGGCTTTTATTTTGAGTTTTTGGTTGTACACAGCTAGGGTTTCCCCGTATCGGCCAGTAGAAGTGTCATTAGGTTGGCTGTTTTGTTTTGGGACTTGAACACATTGTAAAGAAATTTTTGAAGTGATCAATGGAAACACCACATTTGTTACATTTACATTCGTGCCCAAGCTATTTCCTTAATTGCAATGTGATTTGTGGATCTTGAGTTATGATTTTTACTTGTATGAATGGATGAGTTTTGTTTTAATTTTTTACCTATGCTTGGAAATAATGTTTGCTAGGTACTAGCAAAACTCAAGTTAGGGAGTGTGATTAGCACAAAAACATGACATATATTGTGTGCTAATATGCCTTTTGTACTTGTTTATAGTCATGAATTTGGGGAGAAATGTGCTTACCTTTTGTTTTGATGGAATTTTGTGTGAATGCAGGTAAAACAATGTAAATGGTATGAGTTATACCCCCATTGAAGTGGTTGAAGTCAAAAAAAGAAGAGGGGGTAGCTTAAAGGAAGGTTTGGAGGGAGAAGAAACCAAGAAAATGGAATTGGATTGAACACCTTCCAGAAGGTTTGGGTAAAAACATTTCAGAAGGTATTGCCTTGGATTTCTTTTTCATTGCCAAAACCTTCTGGAAGGTTTTGTCCATTGGAATGAACCTTCTGGAAGGTTTTGCCCATTGGAATGAACCTTCTGGAAGGTTTTGCCTACTAGAGTGAAACCTTTTGGAAGGTTTTGTTTACTGGAATGAACCTTCTGGAAGGTTTTGCCTACTGGAGTGAAACCTTCCAGAAGGTTTTGTTTGCTGGAATGAACCTTTCGGAAGGTTTTGCCTGCTGACCCTTTCATTTAACTGTTCCTGCACAAACCTTCCGAAAGGTTTTATGTCGACCTTCTAGAAGGTTTTTGCTAAACTTCCCAGACAGCCTGTAACCCAACTTTGCAGCTTGGGGGCCATACTTACACTTCTCTAATAGACCCCCTGACATCCCCTGCACGTCTAGGAGCTTCCCCTCACCTCTACATGGACTCTGTTGGCTTTTGCATTAATGAGGGGAGAGAAAAGAAGCTTGGCAGAGAGAAGAATGGGGGCTGGTCCTAGTTGCACAATGCAGCCCCTATGGATGGAAATCACATCACTCAGCTGAGAGGAGACTCCAAGCACATTTTTAGGGGGAAAATGACTCCGTTGTTAAGGATTCTAAAAGATACAGAGATATAGAGAGAGAGAGTCTGGAGAAGAAGATGAATAGTGTTCTAGAGAGATAAATTGAGATTTTTACTTTTTCTTCAATACATTATCTTGTAATCTCATATATGAATCTTTAGGATTTCATTTAATGTCATTAATGTTGTTTTGCTTCAAGTTCAATGCAATTTTAATGCTCTTTTAAAGCTTTCACCATTAAGGCATCAAGGTTCTTCATTTTCTTAGTTTTCAAATGGGTATGCAATAGCTTATGTTTTCTTGTATCTAGTTACTCTAGGACTTCATATATTTGCAATGCATTCTCATTACATTGTCAATTTCATTTTAAGCATGAGTAGCTAAATCTTTTTGTTGGAAAAACCAAGGGGAACCTCCACTTGGGTATACCATTTTAACTCATTCTCCTCCCTTCTTTCAGAGTTCAATGGTTCGGTTTGACTAGGTTGAGGGTGGAAGAAGGTGGCCCTTGAGTATCAAAGGATCATGGAGGAAGCACAGAGGGTTATTTCGAAAGAGAAATCCCTTGTGTCCTCTAAGGGGGCCTACGAGGCTTGGACAGTTCTCCTTCCTTGGACATTCTGTTCATCCGACCACCACTCTTCCTCGTTAACTCACAGATGGAATATCACAACAAAAACCTTATGCCGGCTCCTTACTACATTACTACTTGAACCTTACCTACCCGAGACACAACCAGACTTGCGTAGGAACATCGACTGGTCGGGGCTAATCCACCGCCAAGTGTGTGACAGGCCATGTTTATCACCGGTTTGTCAGTTGTGGTTCCCGTTGAGTTGAGGCAAGCTTAGCCACCAGCCCCCTTCCAACTACATAGGAAACTCTTGCTTGGGGAGAGTCAATCTAGTTACCGGGCTAGCTCGCAAAGATAAGTTGAATCATCAAAATCGAGATTGCAGATAAATATCTATGGAGGTAAGGCTAGCACTGGTTCTCGTGTCTAGTTGTGATTCTCCGGGATTCCATCAAGAAAAGAATAACCTTCTGCTCCCATACCTTACCAAAGCAAGGAAGTACTTATAGTTGTTTAGTTCAAACAAAATAGTATTAAGAATACTGTAAGACTTTGGTATGGCTCTTTAAGAAGATCCTAAAACTTAAAAGAAAGGGAGACCAGACTAGCGGGAGACGACTACTAAGCTCTTTAATGCTAGTTGTCTTTATCAAGTATGAAATAGAATCAATACAGACCGTGACGGCCATATAGAAAGCAGAAAGAGTCCCGTAGGGCAAGCAAAGAAGCGTTAGCTCCCGATCCATAAGCCAGACTGCCCTAACCCACTAAGAAAGGGAGTTAAGAAAGCTAGTAGTTCAGAAAGAGTATCCTCATTCAAGCTAGTGGTGATTAGAAAGCAAGGCGAGAGGGAGCTAGCAATTAAGGCTAACCATCCGACAGAGGAACCTCTTTCATTATCGTTCTTATTCTCTGGTATTCTCTTTAGAAACTATTCATCCAGTAAACAAGGGTCAGAAGGAGGCTGATGTAAGCTAGTTGTTTTATTTAAAAGTATGCTATTTTATAAAGAAAGCACCAAGCACGCACTGAAAACTCATTCATTAAGGCAAGGAAGCCAGTACTCTACTGAGCGAATTCAAGCTAGTAGTAGTCTGGTAGGCCAGCACCAAGTTATAGAGTTCTGTTTCGAAAGTCTTATTGATGAATTAAAGTAGTCCCGTACCAAAGCAAGCTTAAAGGAAGCATGCAAGCACTTCAATAGTTTTCTCTTGATCCACTATGCATTAAGCAAGTTAATAAACAAAGCCCTCAAAATAAGGAATAAGGCAGACTGACAAAAGAGAGAAAGGGAACAGAGCAAGAGAGTCCGTCTACTGGAAGAAAGAAGTCAAAAAAGAAAAAGATGTGGCTTTCATAAGAGAAGAAGAACATCTTACTCAACAAGAGTTAAGGAAGAGATGCACCTAGCGGATAGAGAAAGCTTTTCACATTCTCCGATCTATGGGTACAAAGAAAAGAAGACCAAGAAAATCTCGACCTCGACCAAACCAATCTCAAGTAGAAGCCAAGGAAGGACTATCACCGGATTCGTTCAAAAGAACAGATGCCAGACTTCACTAAATCAATCTATTTCTCCTTGCAGCTGGGCTTATTTCTTGAAAGGCATAGGACTTTCAAAGTGTATTTTCTCCTTCCAATTCCAAAGAGGGCACAACCATCACTGGCAACCTGCTCTGTCTCGTATGACTCTTACTCAAGTGCTAAACAGGGGTCAGGGCACAAATGGAGGAGAACAAGAAGACCGAATAGGAGATTGTTGATGGCTATGCTGATGACATCGTGCTTGCCCATCACTGGCAACTACCTAGACTTAGGTTTTTAGTTCCCTTGTAATTTTTCTTCTTTTCTGTAGCTTGGGGAATGCAAAGCCCTCTTTTATTTTGAATGAAAAATGTCTTTGCTTCATATATTAGTTTTCTTTTCTTTGTCTTTGCGTACTTGTGGCTTCCAACTCTAACTTCTAACTCCGAAATTCTAAATCTGAAACTCCCAAAATTTTGAAGTGTTGACCCTCGAGGCCAAAAAGCTTCATTATTTTAGAACATCAGTGTCGAGGGTACGTGCTAGAAATGGAAGGTTCTGACGAGGTTCCATGCGCGAACGCCGTGAGGGTTTTTTACGCCAAGGGCACCGAGGGACATTTTTAGATTTTCACTCCTATTAGCTTTATCTTCCTCATGG